TGTCTCTAACTCCTGCTAGAGTTCGCAGCAGAACACTCTTGGGATGAAAATGGATATAGAAAGAGAAGTGGAAATAGGCTGTGCAGTATCTATCTCGTTATCCTTAAATCCGCTCATGAATCGACCAGAAAGATAGCTATTCGGGCTGAGCTAGCTATTGCACCTCGCTAAAACGAACCATATCAGCTATCGTCGTCTACGGCGACGATCCCCACAACTATCTCGTCATCTCCTGTCTGAGACGATTCTCCCTAACTTAGCCCACGTCCCTAAATGATACGGGGTCAAGCGGGACCACCAAAAAGCGTGGTCCCCACTTCTACCTCTAACAACGTCAAGGGCAAGACGTAGGTTGTATTATTAGATAAAGTATTATTAGCCATTATTCTACGTTTTCATTGCGGTAACGTCCGCACTTATTACATTACTTGTTGTATTTTTACTCCGTTACCATCGGAGTTATAAGAAAACCACTGAACCACCAGCACATCAGCCTTTATTGGCGTGGCGCTACTTCTCCCCGGATTTCANAGGGTAGAGCATATGAAAGCCACGTAAAGGGAAAGCGGGCAGGTATAGGCAATAAACATCGCCAGCCAACCGAAAAGTGCTGCTACAACACGTCTTGTCGAAGGAAGCAAGTCTGGATCTATTCCTGTATGGACCAATCAGGTAACTCAACCAAAATCGAAAGGGATGAGGGTAAAAATGCTGGTCTGAAAGTGCTAGCCTTTTCGATTCGCTGTATAAGTCAAACATAAGCTTGAGAACCCACATGAATTCGAATGAAACCAAATTCTTGGCATATTCAGAAGCCTGACTGACGAACGTCGAACGCTCCTAATATACCTCGGTTGCTTGGGGTTATGAAGGGTCACAACCAAGCGACCAGAGTAAAGCCCTCCTGACAATTTTCCTGTTTTTTTGAGACGGAGCATGAGAAATGCATTTCATTCAACCTGATGAAGATTCGCTCTCTGTGAAACCAATTCGAGAAAAGCCAGGCCATTGCCTGGGGCGCAATGCTGGCTTCAATGCTGGCTGAGCGACCTATACTAAATTAAAAAATAAAGTAAGATTCAGAAGAATTGTTTTATCAATCATTACTACGCTATTAAATAAGGGACTCAATATTTGTTCCTATCTCCTGCTAGAGTTCGTAGCAGAACAGTCTTGGGTTGAAAATGGATATAGAAGGAGAAGGAGAAATGGGCAGTGCCGCTATCTCACCCGTTATCCCTTAATCCGCCCTTGAATCGACCAGAAGAGATAGCTATTCGGACTGGGCTAGCTATCGCACCTCGCTAAAACGAACCATATCAGCCTTTATTGGCGTGGCCCTACTTCTCCCCGGATTCCAACGGTAAACGGCAGTGATTCCGCGCCGACTACCTTGTTCTTCTACCGAAAATTCAAACTTTTTCCATCATAGCAAGCGCAAACGGGTGCGGCGAGCCCGACGCGATTTTTGAGGAGAAGTTACCAAACTCGAAGTTAGGCTACGAGGGAGAAAAAGCACATCAAACTGCGCAACAGTCCTCATTTTTACAAGTCATCGTTCATATCGTAAGTTGTGCTCTTTTCGTATTCACGCAGGCGAAAGAAGAGAGCTCAACTTACTACATTATGTTATTCACATTATTTTTAAAACTGGTTCTAAGGATTCCTTCATCTGGTGAATCATTAATGCGCGAAAAAAGTTACATAAAAGGATATTGGGACGAATTGTCCAAAGGTGGGCCATTACCTACACTAGCTACAGCAACCGACCAGCGGGGGACGGTCACCTCGTGCGTCCGAGGACGCGCGGCGAAGTTCGTGACATCTTAGGACGCACGTAGTGCCACATACCCGTTCGACACGAGTCGAGTTTTGTGGGAGGTCTAAGACTTGATTGGACGAGTTTCCTTACGAGGTACATAGGGCATAATTTTGTTGCTTATGCAAATATGCTATTTTATGGGTTACGGATGAAAGGGGAGTAAATGGGCCATGCATTCGGCTTTGACTCAGAATCCTAGAGGTGGTTATCCACCATATGCAATAGTTTATCAGGCCTAACCGAGGTGCAGGGGTATGTCCTCAGCCAGCCATGCCATCGTGCCAAATTGGCCCAGACGAGATTACCTCGTGGAAGTAATTCTTCGGTCATGCGCTATCTATCACTCTCTACGTTCAAGGATGTAAGTGCTTCACAATCGATCGCTTTCCCCATGGGTAACCAAGAACACAAGAAATCGATGAATGCCCACATGCATGTTCAAAGAAGTATAGAAAAATAGGTGTAAGTGACAGGGCTCGAAAATGAGTGCGGGCCCAGAAAAAAAGAGAAACTGAGGAGAGCTGCCAAGACCCATGAAAAAGGTTCCTATCGTTGTGACTGGTTTCCAATTTCAGTCGTTTCCAGTTTCCTAATTCAAATTGTCTCCTTGCGAATGGTATCCCAGAGATGAGCAAACGATCGTGTTGTCCACTTCAAATGCAATATGGGTTAAAAATATCATTGCCGCCTGAAAATTGGGCCGAAGTTTTAGAAAAACTTTGTGTGACTTAGGGGTTTCACTTCAATGCAAGGGCAAGTTTGAGTTGAGCATCACATGGTGGGCATCCCAATTATTTACGCTGAGCCATATACTTTTCCTGTTCTAAGTTTCAATTGCATAAAGAGAGGTCTGGAAATCGTCGAAGTCGGAGAAGTTCAGATAATCATAAGCTGTTTTAGACCCTCAACCTCTAAAAGGTTAATGGTTACAAACAAGTTAATTTTAAAAAATCGTAGATTTCTGAAAAAATGGAGCCTGGTGGACAACACCCTTATTGTATAAGACTTTGGAATGTCTGCCTACATATGGGTTCCTGTACTTGAACTGAAAAGATCGCTCCTGATGCAGAGGATGGGCAATGTGCTTGGAAACATGACCCAACTCAATTTCCCCGCCATCGCCTCCGAGCGTCCAGCGATGTGATGGGTGCTCGGAGGCGGCAGTAGTGGAGGGCCAGTGTAAAGGATGGCCACTGAGGATGTATACAAAATCAATCAAAAAGGAAAATAATTTTTTACTTTTTGAATCCTCCTTATCAAATCTTCTGCACCAAGCATTGGCAGTGTGGTTGTCATCATTGCCGTGAAAGAATTGCCACATACAAAAGAGCCTTTGGTCTGCATTTGCAGATAGAATGAGCTCAATATCATAGCGTCTTGTACGGAGCCCCTACCCCCTCCTTCAAGAGAGATCGTCAGGGCAACTTATATTGGCACTTATGAACTTCTTGTCGTGATTACATTCCAAAATATCAATTATTCTAAAGCTATCAGGAACTTTTCAGCAAGAAATAGGCTATTAGGCAAATATAGCAACTCATCAGCATTTCTTTTAAGTACAGCTTCCCTAGCTGAATCTCCCACGGAAATGCGTTTTATGAGGAGGACATGGCTGATTTCTGGTTGGAGTTTCTTATGCTCGAGCCTGAAGAGGAAGTGACAGGAAGAGGCATTTCCTGAGATAGGAATTGGCTAATCCTGACTAATAGTGAATGAATCAGGGAAGAATATAAATGGGTAAGGAACGAATGGGAAGTTTGTTCGTCGCATCGTTTCCTCACAGAAACCACCTTGTTCAAGCTCCCGAGGCTCTTCGATGCGGACAAGCTCAGCACAGAAGAAATTGGGTTACAGAAAAGAAAAAAGTGAAAATTCTATCAAAAATTATCAAGAGCATCGGAAATGCGAAAACACCTATGGGAAGAAGGGATGAAGTACCTAATTGAATGATAAACAGAATTCACATAAAACCTCTTGAATATCATCTTTACAACGTCAGCTGAAGGCATAAAATACTCTCATCTGACAAACGGACAGTCTGATCATTGCACAGCCTCATAGGCTAAATCCACCGAGGGGCGTATCCTGTCTGTCAGTAAGACTCAGAGCATAGCTTTAAGTTAGATGTTGGTACGTTGTCCTCCATGCTGAGACGGTTTTTAGGAAATCAAATTATTTGCGGAATATTAAACAACCATTTGGGCTATGCACGGTAAGGAGGGTTCAGTCACATGTCCACGACCGCTCACTTACGATGGTATTAGAGGGTGGTGTGTCTGATAGTGAAACTAAGATGGTTCTCTGCGAATATGAACACCTCTGAAGCCGCTTTGCAGGTGTCTCGCTCGACCCAATTCACAGCGCTTCCCTCTCAGTGCCTACGTGACTTATTGCAGACTGACAGACAGAACGGCAGCATACAAACAAACACACAAAGTTAATTGTATTTATAAGTATATTTATATGCGAAGGTTAAAGGACAAAGTTCCTTCGCATCGATCACCCCATCAGAAAGATACGCTCCGCGTCTGACTCCCAGTTAGAATCATAATGGCGGATAAAATGCGTATGAGGCCTATACAATGACTTGCGGTAGCCAGCCGATGCACCAGTCAGTGGGTTTTCCTTCCCAGACGAGCCTGTTACCAATCAGGCGAACCCGGAGAGATGGAAAGCCTAAGATCTATATAGGTTGGGGGATTAGAATGGAGGAGGTGATGCAGTGCTAAGTGACGCACTATTACAGGCAGGCCCGGAAATCGAATCTCGACTTTATACTTAATAGCAGGCCAACAAAGCTCCATCCCTCGATTGATTGGTTCCAGACTCGTTGGAGAGGATAAAAGCTCTAAGTGCACATCACCATCACCACCGACAACATTCAAACGCCTCTACGGTTCTGAGTGGAAGTCGAATGTGCAGAGCGTATCCTATAAAGGAAATTGATCAAAGCAGAAGGACTTCAAACTTTTATACTACGATCAATCGGATTCGTCATCCGAACAACCCTGCCCTGCAGCTATCACAGATCATCACAAACACATTCAAGCATCTCTACAAACGTAAATGAATGCCTGGTGCATGGCGTATCCACACCTCACATTTTATTCTTCCATGCTCAATCACCGTAATAGGAAGTTAAGCAAAATATACGCGCAAAGCAGCTAGCGTAGGTGGGATGCCCTCACAAACATCAACGGAAGAACAGTACGTAGTGGCTTGTGATATAGGTCATTAGGTCCAGCCCTTTTCCCATTACACGTCATTTTTTGCTAAAACCAATCAGTACAGTGACTGGATCGCTTTACTCCATCTGTGTCCGAACGAATTACCGCCTTCTCAGCTTGGCTCCGCCCTTCGTCGCCAAGAAGGCGTGGTCGTGTCTCCAGAAGGCGCTGCGTGCCAACGTGACTCGTCGACAGCGCTACTCACGCAACATGCATTCTACCACCTTCTTCGTCCTTCTGTTCACCGTTGTGGCCTGTATCTCCTACAGTTATTCGCAACCTTGTACAACGGCTGGATGTGAAGAGGCTGTCGCCGGCGACATTGGGCTACCGAGCGAATACAGACGTGAGTTCAAAGCCTTACCACTACTAAACCGGCGATTACCCCAACTTTAATTTAAAACAAGCCATAAATTCACCATCTGCCTCAGTTCAGTCTCAAGCCTACCGTCCCCTTCTTCCCACATTTTCTGAAACTAACGGACTCAAGGTAGTGGGAGTTACGCGGAGCAAAGAAGCCTGGAAGATTTCTTCGCCGAATTTCGCGATCGGGACCAAACAGATTCAATCCAAGCTTCAGAAGACAAAAAGCCTCTTACGAACCCATTAGCTGCTCATCATCCCAGTGCAGTATATCCTCCATTAGTCCGGCTCCATTAGATCTCTGATGTCGATTGAACCCTTACTCGATAGAAAGCTGAGCTCACAAAGAACACACTGGTTTTCCTCGTTCTTTCCTACGGATAGTAGGACTGACTTGTTACTTTCGCAGTATTACAATACTGCTGGGCAAAGCGTCTGACCAACAGCCTTCAATGGAGACAATAAAGTCCCTGGAAGTACAGCAGGCCAACCCACGCTTATCCTATGAATATTAGTAACGCCAAGCAACCTGTTTGGCAGTTTCCCCTGGAAGTACAGCAGGCCAACCCACGCTTATCCTATGAATATTAGTAACGCCAAGCAACCTGTTTGGCAGTTTCTTTGACTTTGGCTCTTTGGCTTTTGACTTAACCAAAAGACGACGGCTTTCTTCTGATGTTTACGAGTAATCTTTACTCATATGCAACTTTATTTGGATTAGCCATTCAACCCATTGTTAGAAGGAGGTTTCAAATTGGGCCACTGTTGGGATCTGAGCAACCAACTTCAGTTGACGATTGGATGCAATTAGCGGCTGACCATTTCTTTCAAGGAACCTAAAAAGTGATAGCAAACGAATTCGAATTCGTGAAAATTTCTGGTCTTCAGTTACAGCTTTCTTGCCACTATCCAGAGGTCCAGAGATGCTAAGCCAAAGCAGATTAAATCTGCCTGTTGACAAAACTCGCGGTATCAAAGTCAAGTAACCCCTGTACAGCACGGAAAACGAATCTCATTGTCAGTTCTGATATTGCCCGTTCGAGCTGAACCCTCTTTCTCTTTGAGTAGATTGACTAGCTCTGGACTGTTTGGCTCGAAAAAGAGGTTGATAGAGGTCAGTAGGTTATCGCAAACCACTTTCATTTCAACCACTCAATCAGAAGCCGCTACAATCCCAAGGGAAGTCGAGAACGTTTCTTTCCAGTCTCCAACAAGTAACGGACACAAGAAACCCCAAGAATTTGAATCAGCAGAACCAGAGGGACCACTAACTTTCTTTACTTCATTGGTTTTGGCTTTGTACGATCTGCTCACCAAATCCCTCATAAAAGGACAACCTCGGAAGAAAATGACTTCATGGGGGAAAGGACCCGGTCATACGAATTCTAACGCTGACGATTCTGGACAAACTATAGGAACAATGAAAAGCACCCTTCACTTGTGTACCCTCTTCCACGACCTCCTTACGGACATCCCAATGAGTAAGTCCTTCATCCTTCACATCTTCGACTGAAACGACTCTGTTGCTCCAATTCTTTTGCAAGCTCATAAAGAAGAACCCGAAACTTGTATATTAGGTCTACTACACAGGGCTTTAGCATGAGAGGGACAAAACCTAGACCTCAGCATGGGGTAAGGAGTAGGAACTTAACAAAGTAGCAGAGTCACCCCCACGATCCTGCCAACAGATCCTATTACTAAATCGACACTATTAACAGCGAACTACTTCCATATCCTGAACGCCAATGCCTCGCTTTGGTTTGTGCCTTTTATTATCAAAGCGCAGTTATAAAACCCAAAAAAAGTCCCAATAAAAACCTCAAATCCAATCAGAGCTTGTGAAGAGAAAATTTCCAAACTCGGAAATCCACGATGATCGGTTCAAACAAATTCGATTTCATTACTAGGTCACAACAATAAATAAATAAATAAATAAATAAATAAATAAACTTCTTTGAAAACCTACAGTCTGCTCGAGAACTGAGAACTGGAAGACTTATCCAGCCGACGAACTGATCTTAAACTGGTTTCTGAAGGAAAGTTGAAGAATGTGAATGCTCTCCAATGGCTTCTTCTACGAATGTTATTGCTGGGTTTCCCGCACAGAAATCCTTAACCTACGGTTTACTAACAATGATGAGCCCATATTACCTGAATGTCATCTTCCTTAAGTCCAATTAGATAATGAGGTTCCCAGAGTTTACAGTATATCATACATATCTAAGCACCTAGGAGGATGAAAAATGAGCCGTTCATTGGGAAGACATAACATAGTTTCAGTAGAAATTAATTGCTGTAGGATGTTGGATGTGGGTTACTGTAGTGGCATTTGAAAGCAGTAGTTCTTGGTTCATATCTGCTTGATATGAATGTTTATGCCGTTTAATCTCCTTTCTTACCTGAATTTCATAATTGGCAATAAGTGCAGGTGGTAAATGGGGCAATCGGGAAGCACTTTTTGCCACCATCTTACAATGGGTTCGATTCTGTCCTCCTGCTGGTTATGGTTTCCATTTCAGTGGTTATTTGATTGCTGCCAGGACTGTCTGAAAAAAGGGGAAATTGGTCGCCTTGAGAGTTGAATGTAAAACGGATTACTGGTAACTGGTAACTAACAAAAAAACTCCAAATCGAGCAGTGAACATCAATTCAGTAGATCCCTACAATTTCGAAATTTTGGAAGGGGCACAAGATACGGCTTATTCCGTGGATTTCACAAGGATATCTCTTTGTTTTGTTTAGAGCTCATGCCAAGTTGAGCCCTCTCTTTCGAATTTCAAAAAAAGTGACGGAGATATTTGTTTACATATAAAGACCCGAATGGGACAAAAAGCTACAAATCAAAAACTCCTTGGGAAATTGCCAACGGGCCCCTCCTAACAGCATCGGTTTTAGTTTCTGGTGGTATGAATACGGGACCATAGAAATATTTGATTCACTCTGGGTGAACTTCAAGTATTTCTTGCGCTGTTGTCTCCCTTTCTCTCCGACTTTGATCCTTCTCTGTCCTACATATGCTTATCTCATTCTTTTTCAAGACAGCCCTCTTTCTATTTCTCACGGCCACGAAATCAAATGAAACCGTAGAAGCTTTTCTATTCCCTGCTAAGATGGGGCTGATGGGAATGGGAGGCCATTCTCACCAAATGACTGATGGTTCATAGATCGACTCCCAAACCTATAAGGGATATTGCCCAAACCAGCTGATCACCTTCTCTTCTCTCCTTCAAATAACCCATTCAAAAGATAAAATGCTGAATTACTAGCTTGTACATTACCTAGCGTCCCTGATAACTGCACAGCTCACTTAACATTCCGAGTGTTACTGCGGTGCTGAATGGAAGTCATATGCGCGGCGCATCAAAAAACGAGCCAACCATCGAGAAGTACTTCCCTCTTGCTATCACATTGTTGGAAATCGGGCTTTGAAGGTAGGCTTCATCTGCCCACATAGTAAGGGCCTGCCGTGCCCTAGTATTTCGAGACCTTTTTGAAATCATGGCACGTCATGTGGCCTGGGACCCTTCCGAGTTGCAACCGATCTGATCCATATAAAAGCTCTTCACGATGTGCTTTGCTCCCAATAAGGCTCTTCAGGTGTGTTGACTTATTTGCGTAACTGCCTCGAACGAGAAGCTGACAGAGCCAAATGCGAGATCGTTAAAAGGGCTATGCCAAAAAGTTAGGGCCACTGAGCCGTTTTACGAGGCTGTACGTTAATCTCATGCAAGCAAGTCCCCTTTCATAACCATGAAGGGATGTCCAGAAGTTCGGTGAAGCACCACCTGTGACCGTTATACCAAATGAGGAGTATAAAAGGTGGTCGCATAGTGCTAGAGAAGATAAAGCTTCCCCTTCACGACTTACTGCCAGCGGGTGGATATTTATGGTGAATTGGAAGAGGGTCAGAGAGTCAGGAACACACGATCGGGACCTATTTGACCCCACATTCGACTTGGCTTGGATGGCCTAAGCGGATACCCATCCGGGTTTCGAACCCTTGACCATGCATGTGTGATAGTGAGCCACTTACCACTATTCCACCTCTCTCACTTGAATTGGTACAGGCGCTAGAATTAGAAGCAAAGCGTGGTAGGGAGGTAAGAAACGAATGTCACATTTTTTATCCGGATAATGCGCAATAAAAAGAGGAAATCCTCTAAAAACTAGTATATTAATTAATTCCTGAGAAGGTACCGAAAATTGGAACTTTCTGCCAGGCAATCACGAAAAGTCCCTTCCGACCCATTTCACTTCGACTGGCAAAGAGTAGGTGCATCTAACCAGTAAGACACGATGCTCATGCACTCGGCTAATAGTCCATCCTATTGTATAGCAGAATAAGAGGATTTTCCCGAAATGCTGTTATTCTGTAAACTGATTTGACGTGACGTCTGAAGGTACGACCACGCTAATCAATCAGCCGTAATATCAACAAACATGAGTATTGGGGTATGTTTCCTTCCGAATATTTAACTTGCAGCTGGACCAGATAATGGCTCGAGGACATCAACGACATAGCACAAAACTGCCAAAAAAACCTCGTCATATTGAATTCAAGGCAGAGAGGAAATAGGCAAAAAATTCGAATAACTATAAGAGACCGAAAACCTGATTTAACAATAAGATGGCTGTCATGTGACGGTATAGCTGTAGCTGGTTGCAACCATATGGTTTGAAAGAGCACCTTCTCTCTTCCTCCCTAGATCATTTGGTCATGATCCCCTTCGAACCATACACATAAATGAATGACAATGTGTCATTACAATCGAACAGGATGTTCTTTAGAAAATTTCATGAGATAAAAACCAGTTTAGGTGAAAGTTATGATGACTATTAGCTTAGGGATATTCTCACTGCTTTCCAAACAGTGAAAACATCCCTTAATCTATGCGCTAACAAGTAAAGACGTCCGATAGGTCATACTTTCGGGAAGGCTACTCTGAACATCGGAGAAAAAAAAAGAATTTTCAAGAGAAGGTGGTCGATAAATGGGCATTACCGATACTCTTCTATTGTTGCAAGATGTTCGAGGAAGTTCGTAAGCTAAGAAGTATGAAACTAAGGGTAAGCTGTTTGCGTGCGGCATGGGCGGCCGGTACGAATGATGCAACCTCTACAGCTTCTGCAACGCCGTGGGAACTTGTCCACCTTTGGGCATACACATCGGTCGAGTCGATGTTGGGACCCTTACCACGCCCTAACTAAGCCGTTTTTCGGCCCTACGGGTTTTCGAACCATGTTATCCTTGCGAATCGCAGGTTCATCAGGTTCATCCTAGGGAGGAATCTCAAGAACCATTTTTCTCTTGAGCTGTGCCTTCAAAGAGAGGTGGCTTCTTCGAAGTTTAATGTATCCATCCATCACGTTAGAGGGGTGACTGCATTTAATTTAATTTCATTCCAATTCATTTTTCACCGGTAGTTTCAACCGCTCTTATCCATGGAATTTTAGGGTAATTAGCAAGGAATTGGCAAAAATCATCGTTTTTGAGGAGAAAATCATCACCCCCGAGTCTTCCTTCAGAACGACACCCGTAGGCCCCGCCATACTCAGATTCCTCGTTCCAGTAAAATTTTATAGAGCGAGCTAAGCCCTCGTTGTTGTGGTTGTTCGAAGACTACATAGTTTCTTCGATGCGCATCGTAAAATATGCTACTCTGGTCGGTCACGATGGGTTTAATAAACATTTGCGTGATCTGGGATGGATAACACGCATCACCTCATAACTGCCACATTCCCATGCGCTCCCATCACTCACGTTCAACGTTTGCAACAGCCATGACAATCTGTTCCTAATTGAGATGGCGGGAATTTGAATACACCCTGACCTAATCATAAGACTATTTTCCTTCTCTGGATTCTTTTGAATAGAAAATGAGAGTAGGCTTTGGGATAGGGTAATCGAAAAGAAAAAGGAAAAAGCTGATGCGATTATTTAAAGAACTGAATAACTTGACTCAGGCACCTTGTGGAGTCAATGTGTGGTTCCATTTGGGATTTCAAAATTTTTGTAATAATTTCAATGTCTGCTACGGAAATTGCGAAAGATTTCGAGCATTTTCCGCATCTCAATGCTGTTAGTAGGAAAACCGCTTCAGGTATTGGAGAATGGAAGGAAGTGCGAAGGTAAAAATGGAAGAAGTAAATAATAGGATAATGGGTTTCCCCTGTGCAAGCGGCCCGCGGAAGAATTCTCTCAACTCTGAAGGGTATCCCTCCGATTCATCCTAATTCCTCTCTTCCCTCAAAAGCAATAGAGAAATTCTCAAAGCAAGAGAGGAGTTGGAGTTCTCTCAACTCTGGGCTGTTCTGACTGGTCTCAACTAAGGCCTTCCATTTACTTCACAAGTCTTAGACAGAGAAGAGGACAAAACGGCGGAAACGAAATTTTAGCTGGCTTAATGAACTGGTGACCACTTCATATTTTTTTGAACCCTCCAAAAAAGAATGGATAAAATTTAAATTCACCATGGCCGCGTTTCACTACATCGCCCTCCCAGCTCACCAGACTTCGAGTATAAAGCTTACAAACTGCAAAGGATTGGAATGAAAGCTTACGAACTGCAAAGGATTGGAATGAAAGAGATCTTTGACTATTCTGCAGAGCGAGTTTGCGTCGAAACGTCATTTAGTGGATTCGTAGAGGATTGAAATAACGGGAGATCTGTGACTATTCCATAGCGGGAGGATGCGAACCGCCAATTAGTGGGTCCCATAATCCCTGAGGCAACCCGAACGCCTTTATAGCGTTGCAGATCGACAATAATGGATTGTTGCATGACCGTACTCATTATTACTGCATCTCTTTCACATATTGTATGGGATACCTCCCCATAAAGGACATCAAGGAATCGCAGCTGACGGCCATTACTTTCATTATGCACTGAGTAATTAAAGGGTAGGAAAGGGTGCGTTTATCTTGGTGGTAAGTTGCTATTTATCAGCAAATCCTGATGTCGTTAGACAGAGAGCCTTTCAAAGAGATCAAGAATCTCAATATGAGTCATGATCATTGATTTCCGGGCCTTTTCCTGGCTTCTTCTGAGTCTTCACCCGTTTTAATCACAAAATAATGGGGGATAGAATAGGGATGGGGGATAGAGCGCTGCGTGTTGAAAGCTTCCTTATTGGTGAGCCAAAGTGATCCCTTTCCACTCGGAATCGCTTTGGCACGGTTGGTCTATTAATTTTTTTACAACTGAAGAGGGGCAAAAGGTTCGATTCCACAAGACTTCCACCAAAACTATATCCCTTCAGTGTTAAGAACGCTTGGATGGAATACGTCCGTACCGTTCCTTTGGCTGTAGTTGTACCGGGGATTAGGATTGACTGCCGACTGAGTATTTTGAACTATCAAACTTTCAGTTTTCATTCCTTGTTGCTTCGAGTACACTACGGCCATACTCGTCGAATAGCTGCTGATGTCGTCATATGCCGTAGTGGTCTTTATAGAACGAATAAACCGCCTCCGACAAATCCCATGATCATTAAGTGAATGTGAGAGACTCCAATTAACATGCCGAGACTTCATACGTAATACAACAAAAGGTATAAAAAGCGTAAAAACGACTGTCTGACGTTTTCAAATCTTCTGCATGACTTGTATTGATTGAGTTGGAAGAGTAGGGTACTGCTTAAACAAGTCTCTTTCAATTGAGGTCACACCTCATTAGGCCTAGCGCAAAACCGTTCCCAGCCTTTGAGAAATTTCGAGGAACTAGAACTATTAGACCAAAAGACCAAAAGTAAACTCAGTAATCTGCGATTAAGACTACCTGACTATTTGAATGGATAGGGGACATTACAAAGTCTGTTCAGATTATCTAGACATGGGGTTCTGCTGCTTCACATGCTGTAAAGTGGCATAGGTTGTCAATTCATCTTCCCACTAAAATGAAGGGCATTCCCTAGAGAGCGATCAGAAAAGCACAGGTAGCACTGAGAATTTCAAAAAGTATTTTCCGGTCATTTCCACTACATTATGATCTTATCAATGGCATCGTGACTCCCTCACTACAGGGCGGTAGTGACAGCACCCAACACTACATACTGCTTCTCCTCAACATTATTCCTTTTTATTATACTTGTACCGCAACCACATCCTGCGCTACCCATCTTCTACCCAGGTAGTTAGCTGTTTGAAGTGTTGGCATATCGATCCAACGCGATGCAGATTATAAAAAAAAACCTACCCGGATACCCTTCAGATAGCAGACAAAGGTACCGTAGTAGGTATTACAACATACCGTACTCTACCATCGCATACAGTAATCGATACTGATTCAGAGAAGCGTCACTACGACTTTGTACGATTTGGGCGAGCAGCGGGTCCAGAAAAGAAGGCCTCGTACGATTACATCCGATTTGGTAAACGAAGTCAAATTGATTCAGACGACTTGAATGCTCGATTCTCACCCTATCAATTCTTGTAAACATGGAATGTAGTCAACTTCTGATATCTGGATATTTTTCAAAAGAGAACATTACTTCTTCGCTCAATGTGATGTGGTTGTAATCCAAATTTCTCAATCCACTTGATTGATTGGTTGATTGACTGGTGTATGCATGAGTATGATCAATGAAGATCTCCTTGTTGGACTGTGTACCAGGAACCCCCCTACTCATTGCATCAGAATAGCTAAAAAGACTGTCGAATGGGTTGCTTTGATAATCCTTCTCTAAAAGCAGCTACAAATAGATTTCATGACGTATTCACTAGAAGCAAAGCTACCGTATAAGCAATTTCGCGACGGGACAGGTGCAAAATGACTTTTCACCTGTTGTTTTCAATTACATAGATTATTGCCTAGAAAATCATACTCCTTTTCACCATGACATGTAATATTTCATAAAGGTGACGAGAAGAAAGAATTTTCTAGGGGCCTAGGGTTAATAATGTTATTTTTTCTAGGAAATCCTTCCCACACATACATGAACTTACGCGGAATACCCGAGCTATCGGCTGACGAACATTTTCTTTCGGTTGTCCTAAGAGTTCATAAAAAGTTGTTGTAAAATACCCCTGATTTCCAATGTCGCAGCCGAACCAGTCCTGAACGAAACTTCAACTTATACGTATCCTCCCCTTTTACCTTACATTTATGCTTTTGATACAAAATTCGAAGTAAGGAGCATTTTAAAGGCACAGTTCACGATGAAAATGGCTGCTGAGATTTCCCCATAGTATGGATTCGAAGCTCCCACTTATACCATACCCGCCGTTATAAGTTTGAAAAACGTCACAATGGATAGGGCACAATAAGGTGCCAGAGATTGTATCGGATGAATGCCCCACCGATCGTGGACGAGTTTCAACGGCTTTGTAGAGGATGACTATTTCAAGAGGCTTCCATGTAGGATGTTCAAACAACTTGTCATAACCCATGACGACAGTGAAAACAAGTTTCGGACAACTTCGGATTGATGTAGTCACCTCTTCGAGCAAGGTAGCAAGTTATCCTCGTCTAAACACCACTTACATACCATTACCATCACGGTCATCTCGTACAATCTCCACCCCCACTACTTTTGAAAAGCCTTGAAATAGGCGGGTTTTCTCTCTTTCTTCGCCACCGATGTTCTCCTCTACATCAACACTTCCACTTTTCTACCTAAAAAGGGCTCCCCAAAATTATCGTGAACTGTGCCTTTAGTTCGCAAATGTGCAAGCACAGTTAGTCCTTCACTAATCCAGGGTCAGTGAGTAGGTAGCAGACTAACAGGCATGGATACTTGGATATTGGCTTCAGCTTCACAAAGCCTCTCTCAAACGGATATGTTTCTATATTTATAGACGAAAATCAAGGGGTATGGTGAAGCTGTGTCACTCTACATTGACCTCTTCGGTGGGATCGCTGATTAACTGGGCATTAAACAAAGTGAGAAAGTTTCGCGATGCCGCTGAAAAGCAATTCTCGTTAAGTGTTATGTTCTGTCATTTTGAAACTCAAATACTCACATTCACTAACCCCAATATGGATTTTCTCATGTGGAAGCTAAGTATACAGCAAAAGGGCGGAGGGGGTATAGTGGCAAGTGGTATTCTGTCATACATGCACGCATCTGAACCAGGGATCGAATTGTGCAGATCGACTTCCGCCTGCGTCATCATAACTCACTGATAAACTACATAGGCATTCGATCACATGGGATTCGAACTGCATCTACGATTCCGAATTGAATTTATCGCATCTGAGGAAGCATCTCAAAGATGGGGACTATAGCTGACGAAGACTTTATCCTTTATCTTGTAATCAGTACAAACTCGGATTCCCTAAACAATCCCACGAAACTAACAAGTGCCACTTTGAAAGACAATTTGGTTTATAGGTTTGCTACGTGTACCTAGGGTAACTTACCAGTGGTATCTGAAGCCGGTTTAGGTACCTGGCGCCTCTGTTTTAGTTAGACCGAAGCTTGAAGCTTGTTCGATTGGGATGATTTCCAAGCTTTGCCTTCGAGGCTTAGAGAAAGATGATGAAGCAGAAGCAGTTGCTTAAAAAACTTGTGCTTCTCTGGATAAAGCATAACACAGCCCGAACCAAGACTGACCGAAAGTCCAACATGGTCTCTCTGGTTTACCTTGGCATTGAACAGTACGGTCAGCAATTTCCAACCTTCCGAAACTCCAAGGATTTATGCTACCGTCTCACTCTCTGCACTCGCCCCTATCAAAGCGGTTCCATTCTTCTCAGACAGCCCGCCTACTGATTATTATTACAAGAAAGAAGTGAAACTCTAGATTTAAGGCCAGCCATGCGGAAAGTATATGCATGCAGCTAAGCGTTTGAGGGGATACAAAAGAACACCTGCGCTCATTTATATGAAATACGATAGCAAATGGTGTTTTTAGCAAAGAAATGTAGGGATTGAATCGCAAATTCATCAGCTTTTCACATGCACGAGTATACGTTTCGCCTTATCAGTTAGCATTACAATTGAATGAGTAATGCTTCATCAAAGGCATGGGGAATGTCTCGGTAACTCACCACCCTACAACACATTAAGATCGCAAAGGGTTCCGCCGATTCCAACATATCGATGACCAAAGGATATGGGATGAAGTCTTTGGGCATTAATCAATCCCGTCTAATGGAGCACCCCCACATTCGACTTCCATTCAAAATCGCAGTAGCGTATAGGATGCGTATGTGTCCTATACAATGACTTGCCGTAGCCAGCCGACGTGCAAGCCAGTGCATCTACACTCCCAGACGAGTCTGGTACCAACTAACCGACTTTGAAGAGCCTTGAGGACCAGCGTATTAACATGATTCGTCTGGGTATGAAGGCAAAACGAATCATGTTATAGTATTTTTCTGCTAACAAATTCTCTCTCTATTTCTCCCTTATTCCTTTCCCTTTTCTATGTCTATACTTCTTTTTATAGATTTTGCTTATATAACTTTAAATTTCTGAATACAGAAGACTTGGTCAGGCTGGACGGATATCGACCCAGGTTTTGAACTCGTAACCATGCGTATGAGATAGTGCGCCACTTCCCATTACTCCTCCCCATACATCGATGACTATGAAGGAAAATCAAGAGCTCGACCAGTTGAGAGTCAGGTATTACCTTAATTTCGCTCGCCTAAATATGTTCACTTGAAGATTTCTTTCAACTCTTGTAAACAAAAATTGACGGCCTATGTGCACGGGGGAAGGAACATCCACCCAGAACTGAATGGACGCGGCAAAGCGCGCGGCGAAATTCGTGGTGATTAAAACGACTCTGGCGCCTATCATTGGGGCACAAACTTGAAGTTAGATAGGTAAATAGCATCAGCTGACCCTACTTATCCAACCTACTTAAACCCGTGCCCCAATGATAGGCACCAAAGCCGTTTTAACACGTTGACGACAACGCGCGTTTGGGCATTTTTGGCGGCGTGGGACCGACCCAATATTTGCGGCCCGTCGACCGCGGGATTTNATGAAGATCTCCTTGTTGGACTGTGTACCAGGAACCCCTCTTTTCATTGCATCAGAATATCTAAAAAGCCTGTCGAATGGGTTGCTTTGATAATCCTTTTCTAAAAGCGGTTACAAATAGGTCTCATGACGTATTCACGCGAAGCAAAGCTACCGTATAAGCAATTTCCCGACGGGAC